GAGACTCGCTTGAGCCCAGGAGTTGGAGGTTGCTGTGAGCATGATGCCATGGCGCTCTACCCAGGGGGATAGCTTGAGGCTCTGTCAAAAAAAAAAAAAAAAAAAAGAAAGATGTGGAAAGAAAAGAGAAAGAAATGATGCTTTCTGGCTAGTCGCAGTAGCTCACATTTATAATCCTAGCACTCAGGGAGGCTGTGGTGGGAGGATCATTTTAGCTCAGGAGTTCAAAACCAGGCTCTAGGCAAAGTGAGACTCCATCTCTACGAAAAATAGAAAAATCAGCCAGGGCTAATGTGGCGGGTGCCTATAGTCCCAGATACTCCTGAGGCTAAAGCAGGAAGATTGCTTGAGCCCAGGAGTTGGAAGTTGCTGAGAGCTAGGCTGACGTGGCACTCTAGTCTGGATGATAGAGCAAAACTCTGTCAAAAAAAAAAAAAAAGAAGATGAAAAGAAAGAAAGAAAAGATACCCCTGTTATAAGCAAGATACAATCTCCAGGAATGTCCAGGAGTGGTGAGGTGGGAAAGAGAATACAGAGAGTGGTCAGGAGTTCAGCCTTTACACTACCAAACAAAAGAGACAGCAGTACCTATGGAAGAGAGGGAGTCTGGTTTAAAAGCCACCCAAGAGGGGCAGGCCTGTGGCTCAGTGAGTAGGGCACCAGCCCCATATACCGAGGGTGGTGGGTTCGAACCTGGCCCTGGCCAAACTGCAATTTAAAAAAAAAAAAAAGGCTCAGTGCCTGTGGCTCGAGTGGCTAAGGCGCCAGCCACATACACCTAAGGTGGCGGGTTCGAATCCAGCCTGGGCCCGCCAAACAACAATGAGGGCTGCAAACCGAAAAATAGCCGGGTGTTGTGGCGGGCACCTGTGGTCCCAGCTACTTGGGAGGCGGAGGCAAGAGACTCGCTTGAGCCCAGGAGTTGGAGGTTGCTGTGAGTTGTAATGCCACGGCACTCTGCCCAGGGGGACAGCTTGAGGCTCTGTCTCAAAAAAAAAGCCACCCAAGAGCTGTCCATCCTGATGGTTCCTAGAGTCGAGCATAGATGAACATTTCCAAGAGCACAAAGGAGCTGAGGGCTCAGAGACACTGAGAGAAAGATCGTGCTGAGAATTCATGGTTCAGGGTGGAATAAATCAAGGCCTATGCCAGCTAACCAAGATTAAGAGGTAAGGCCTGCTCCTTAGAGTTTGGGATAGTTACCTCTAATCTTGGCTAGCTGGCCTAGGCCTTGATTTATTTCACCCTGAACCATGAATTCTCTCAGTAAGGCTCTCTCCTCAGTGTCTGAGACAGTGACTAGGAGGCTAACTTTATTTTATCCATGTATCTTCTACCGAGGTCTTCTCAATCAAACATTGAAACTCACAGGCTACTGTAGGCTACATTTGGCATTGGTTTCCTCAGAAGGATATGGGCCAAGGACAGGCAGTCCTCTTCCATGGGGGTCCTTTCAATAGTCCATGCAGCAATCCAGAGTTCTTTTCAGCACCTCACAAGACAGCTCAGGAGCAAGGAGATGAGATATATATCAGCAGGTGTGTAAGTTGCCTTGACTTAGAAGCTTCTTACACACAAAAGCCAATATCTCTTGTGCCAGCTGCAAAAACATACTTTCCAGAATCCATGCAAGAAATCCGTTCAGTTATAAGAATCATTGCAATTAGGGAAACATAGTGTGGTATCCACACAAATTATTTAGTTTACATAGTTCCAGTCCAAATGCAATTCACCAATCACAAACAATGTTGCCTAGAAATATCTAACATTTTATTCTTGCAGAATCCTGGTAAGGTCAAATTCTCATGCAGAAGGGATGTGGGGTTATGTTAACACTACCCACACCCAGCAATAAATCAAATCTGGGGAGGAAAAGGAGAGGTGACATTGTACTGCTGAGGGCACTTCTGGTAAGATGAACTATATCTGAGGATAGACTGGCACAGATAGCCAGCTTGGTGCATGACAGGGGTTATTCATGTTCATTTCATGGAGACTTTCTATGTTCTGTGGTTTCTTAGGTGACCTTAGAACAAGACTCCAGAATTAAATTCCTAAAGCTTTTAGGATACAGTAAAGATGAACTGCAGAATAAGGTAAGCTGCTTTTTATATCATAAACATGTACTTATTGCAGAGAACAAGAGAATTGTGCCAGAAGAAACCCATCCCAGAATACCTCTTCCAGGGTTTAGTTATTGCATATCTGAGCATTTTTCCTCCTGGAATTAGGCTTTTTCTCAGGAAAATATATTAAGGATCTTGGGATTCCAGTTGGTAGGGTGTGGAAATAAGTAGAGCATGCAATGCTTGTTTGACTTTATTCTGAAAGAGTGGTACTCGTAAATCTTTCTCTGCAGGTAGCCACATGGTTGAAGAGTGACTTGGGGCTAGGTGAGAGCCCTCAGCCCAAGGGAAGTGACCTCAACGGTAATAGACAACAGGCTTTCTACAGCCAGGTGTGTTAGGAGCCCACTCAGCTTTACCTAGATAGCATAGGAGACTTGCCTTCAGGGTGTTTTCCTCTTCCTGGCCCTTTGCTTGCTCTCAGTAAATGCTCAGCTTATGCTGAAATCTTCATACTCCACACTCTGATGGAACCGGAGTGAGACACAGAGTCCATAAGCTTTTGAGCTGGAAGTGATCTTCATCTTAACCATGAACTAGGGCCCTTCCTAAACTTTACCTGGTTATTCTGTCAGTTATATGCACTAAAGGCAAAATAGTTGTGCTCTCAGAGAGCCAGCTCTCTGCCTGTATTCTGTTTATTTCCTAAGTAGTCTTCTATCTTTCTTTGTACAGGCCTCCAAACACACTACAGGGGAAGCCTCTGCTTCCTCAGCCTTTTTTGATGGGCTGGTCCCTCAAAACATGACTCCGTGGGAGATCCCCATCACAGAAGGTACCCTGATCCTCTTTTTTTTTTTTTTTTTTTTTGAGACAGAGCCTCAAGCTGTCCCCCTGGGTAGAGTGCCGTGGCATTACAGCTCACAGCAACCTCCAACTCCTGGGCTCAAGCGAGTCTCCTGCCTCTGCCTCCCAAGTAGCTGGGACCACAGGCGCCCGCCACAACGCCCAGCTATTTTTTTGGTTGAAGCCGTCATTGTTGTTTGGCGGGTCCGGGCTGGGGATTCGAACCCACCACCTTAGGTGTACGTGGCTGGCACCTTAGCCGGTTGAGCTATAGGCGCTGAGCCAGGTACCCTGATCCTAAGCAAGAAAAACTCTGCTCAGGAATAGGTGGGCCCAAAGTTTGTGAACTTGAGACATTCCTTTCTTATCCCCCTTTCCACTACCTCAAGTGCTGGGTGGGTCTCTTACCAGTTAGAACCCTATCTGGTTGGAGATTTTGATGTACGGGTCCTTCCTATGGAAGTCCTTGTACCAAGAGCTTTTTTCCTATCCTTGTCTTCTTACTCCAAGGAATGTGACTCTGCCCATGGTGACCAAGAACACATCACACTGGGTGGTGCCTATGGCTCAGTGGGTAGGGCACCAGCCTCACATACCAAGGGTGGTAGGTTTGAACCCAGCCCCAGCCAAATGCAACAGAAAAAATAGCTGGGCGTTCTGGCCAGCGCCTGTAGTCCCAGCTACTCAGGAGGTTGAGGCAAGAGAATCGCCTAAGCCTAGGAGTTGGAGGTTACTGTGAGCTGTGACACCATGGCACTCTACCAAGGGCGATAAAGTGAGACTGTCTCTAAAAAAAAAAAAAAAAAAAAAAAAGAACACATCACACTTGTGATACTGCTACATGAGTTACCTCCCTGTCTTTAGTTATTACTAGACCTGGGCACCCGTGGGACTTTATTGCCAAGCATTGATACTTGAGGGTTGTGTTTGAAGCAAGGCAGGCTCAGTGATATAGGATACAGGGGTGTGCTGTGAGCCCTTCAGGGGACAGGAAACTAGGGTCTGAGGGCAGGCTAATGTGGAGGGGCTGACTCCCCTACAGACGCTGATGGACTCCTGAGCCAGGCTCTCCTGCTTGGGGAACTGGGCCCTGCTGTGGAGCTGTGTCTCAAGGAAGAGCGCTTTGCTGATGCTATCATCCTGGCCCAAGTTGCAGGAACAGATATGCTGAAGCAAACCCAGAAGCACTACTTGGCCAAGAGAAAAACCAAAATCTCCCCGGTAACTGCCTGTTGTACAAGAGAAGAGAGGGAATTACTGGGACCTTGTCAGGGAGTATCTACCTGTTTCTCTCTCTCTTCTAACTTCCCATACTCCACCATCAGCCCCTACTCACTGGTCTAACAGGAAGCCTATGTGTGACTCCTACTGCCCATACTGGCTGGAGGGCTGATGGCCTTCTTCCCTCTCTGCCCATTACAGCTTCTGGCGTATGTTGTACAAAAAAATTGGAAGGACATGGTGTGTGCCTGTAGCCTGAAGAACTGGAGAGAGGCACTGGCCTTACTGCTGACATACTCCAGCCCAGAGAGATTCCCTGAGCTCTGTGGTAGGTGTGGCTCCAGCCTCGAGTCAGTGGAGACTTATAAGCAGGAGGCAAAGGAGCAGCCTGAGCTCCAGGAGGCCAGGCCTTATGGGCAGGGCTGCGGCCTGGCTCAACCTGTGTTAAGAGACTGTAGCACATGCTCATGCTTTTAGTGAAGATCATTTATTGTTCTGTTTTACTTTGCCTTGTCACATCATGAGGCAAGCGCTTTGCCCTTCAGTTGTAGAATAGGATGAACCTCAGTGTTGTCTTAAAGCCACTCTAGCTACTTGTCTCACAGGTCAGTGTCCTCCACCTGTTACAAACAGGAAAAGAACAGCTGTGCCACTAATGAAGTTTTCTTCTTTCTGCAGACATACTGGGAACTCGCATGGAGCAGGAGGGCAGCAGCGCATTAATCTCTGAAGCCAGACTGTGTTACGTGTGCTCAGGGAGTGTGGAGCGGCTGGTAGAGTCCTGGGCAAAATGCCCCCAGGCTTTATCCCCCATGGCTCTGCAGGTACCCCTCCTCTGCAGGGTATACAAGGCCCTTAAGAGAAGCTAGCAGTGGAGATAAGCAGAGATATCAGAGGCTAGTCTTCTGGTTACAGACCAGAGCCAAGGTGTTAGGGAAGAGTGAAGGCCCCATTGTATGGAGTCTTCACTCAAAGGTGAGATATTACCTCCTTCCCTCAGGGGAAACTAAGAAGCAGCTGCTTAGGTAGTACCTTCAAAATTTTTTCCCATTTGGGGTTTGAGTAAACAAGTTTATTCAATATTTGAGGAATTGTGAGCTTGGCCCTTCTAATGGCTGCTGCAAACATTTGTGTGGATCTAAACTACCAGGTGCTCTGCAGGTAACCAGAGCCTAATGGGTCATATACTAATGGTGAGACCAAATTTACACTAGAGGGCAGCGCCTGTGGCTCAAAGGAATAGGGCCCTGGGCCCCATATACCAGAGTTAGCAGGTTCGAACCTGGCCTTGGCCAAAAACTGCAAAAAAAAAAAGTCATGGTAGAAACAATTAGTATAACAGGGTCTATGGTTGATAATGTACTAGCAGGAAGGGTATAGAAAGGAAAAGAATGCAGATATGTCAAGAATCTGAGACCAAAACAAGCCCAGTTGAATCCAGTCTTAATGGCTTGGGAGGTGAGGCCAGAGCCTTTCTCTGTCACAACTCTTGTATTTCATCATCTGCTGACTTTTCCCGGGTACAGCCACGTGCCCTCTGCCCATAGGAAATCCCTGGGTGACCTGCCCAGACTTAGAAGGCAGGATGTGATTTAAAGAGAGCATTACCACTCTCATCTTTGGTCCTGTAGGACCTGATGGAGAAGGTGATGGTCCTTAACAGAAGCTTGGAGCTACTACAAGGTCGTAGTGGGGTGAACCCAGGCCCTGCCACAACCCACAGGGTCACTCAGTATGTCAGCCACCTGGCAGCACAGGGCAGCCTGGCAACTGCCATGAACTTTCTACCCAGTGACTGTGCTCAGGTGAGTGGGGCCATGTGGAGAGAGAAAACCACTTTATTCAATCAACTAACACCGAGCACTTCCAGGAACCATGCCAATGCTGAAGCTGCTAAGATAGATAAAATCTAATTCCTCATGCAGGTCACATTCTACTGGGGAACAATCAGATGTCAATAACTTTTAGTGCTAAAAAGAAACTTATACTAAGTGCTGTGGGACTCTAGGGAAGGGGCTGATTTTCCCTGGAGAGGTCAAAGAGGGCTTCCTGATGGTTAAAACAGCTGAGCTGGACATTCAAAGAAAAGTAGCTTACCAGCAGATGTAGGACATTCTAGGCAGAAAGAACAGCAAGAAGGAGAGAGGTATGCAAGTGTTTGCTAGGGACTAGGGATTAGGAAACTTGGAGTCATTTAAGGCGGCTAGAATATAGAGGGCCCCCTGAAGTTTGACTGTTGTCTGGAGCCAGGCTTGTAAGAAAGGATGTTTGATTGTTTTTATTTACTTAACACACCCCTTCCTTATCACAACTCATAGCTACCAGTACAGCAGCTGAGAGATCGGCTTTTTCATGCCCAAGGTTCTGCTGTCTTGGGCCAGCAGCCTCCCTCTTTTCCCTTCCCCCGGATTGTTGTGGGAGCTACCCCCAACTCTAAAGAGACATTATCTCACAGATTGGGATCCCAGCCTTCTCACCAGGTAAGACCTTGTTTGTTTATTCATCTAAGTATGCACCAAGAAAGAAAAAAGAATAAGTTATTTGTTAATTCATTTGTTCATTCATTCAAAATACTTATGTGCCAGGCATGGTTCTAAGCACTTGGAATATATTAGTGAAAATAACTGATGAAAATTCTTGACTTCATGGAATAGAGTCAGTTGTTTTTCTGGTAACTTGTTTGTTGAATAACTACTAGACTCTTAAGGACATAAAGGTACACAAATCCTGATCCTTGCCCTCAAGTCACTCCTAGTCCAGTAGAAAGACAGATATGTGAAAAATAACTATAGTAAAATTCATAAATGCCATGATTAGGGTGTGACAAGCTGCTGTGAGATCAGGTAGAAGAAAGCATTTTACTCTGTGTGTGGGGAGCAAAAGGGGGTAGTTCAAGGAATATTTCAGAATGAGCATGATGTTTGATCTGAATCTTGATTGTTAAAAGTTATTGAAGCAAAGGAATTGGGTAGGTAAAGACTGTTTCAAGCACCAGGAATAATACATACACAGAATGTAAGTGTATTGGATCACGAATGAGTGTTGAATTTTGTCAGATGTTTTTTTTTGTATCACGTTCTAGGATGATATGATTTTCCTTCTTTAGCTTGCTTGTATGGTATTGATCGATTTTTAAATATATGTATATTGGACCAGCCTTATATGACCTGCAATAAATTTCACTTGGTTGTAGAGTATTATTTTTGTATACATTGTTAGATTTGTTTTGCTAAAATTTTGTTGAGGATTTTTATATCTAAGTTCATGAGAAATATTGAGCTACAGTTTTATGTTATCCTGTCTTTGGTGTTAGTTTTAGGGTAATGTTGGCCTCATAAAATGAGTTAGGAAATGTTTCTATTTTCTGGAAGAAATTGTGTAAACTTTTGTGTTAATTCTTTGAAATTAAAGAGAGTCACTGGTAAAATTCTCCAGTGACTCTTTTTTGGAATATTTTTAATTACAAATTCAATTTTTTTTAAGTTACAGGACTACCAAAGTCTTCTTTTACTTTGGCTGAGTTTTCATAATTTGTGGTTCTTGAGAGATGGTTCGTTTATGCTAAGTAAAATTTATGAATGTAAAATTATTCATATTAATTGTATTCCTTTATTATCCTTTCAATGGCTTCAGGGTCTGTTGTAATATTCCCTATGTTGTCTCTGCTATTGATGACTTATATCTTCTCTTATTTTATCTTTATTAATATTTATAAATGGTTTATCAATTTTATTGATTTCTTTTCTAAAATATAGTTTTTCTTAATTTTCTCTATTGTTTTTGTCTTTTCTTTTTCTTTCTTTTTTTTTTTTTTGAGACAGAGTCTCAAGCTGTCACCCTGGGTAGAGTGCCATGGTGTCATAGCACTGAGGAGCTCACAGCAACCTCAAACTCTTGGGCTTAAGCAATTCTCTTGCCTTAGCATCCCAAGTAGCTGGAACTGTAGGCACTTGCCGCAATGCTTAGCTTTTTTTGTTGTTGTTGTCGCAGTTGTCATTGCAGTTGTCCTTGTTGTTTTAGCTGGCCCAGGCTGTGTTCGAACCTGCCTACCCTGGTGTATGTGGCCAGCACCCTACCCACTGAACTATGGGTACAGCCCTGTTTTTCTCTTTCCAATTACTTACTTTCCTTTCTCCTTTCCAGGAGCTGACTGTTTCGTTTCTTCACAGGTTCCAACTCCATCTCCAAAGCCAAGTCTTTTCACATCTCAATCATCCCTAGTGACGTCCTTGAGACCTTCCCATCCTAATCCTTATCAGGGTTCTAGGATGCAGACTATAAGTGACTACAGGGTACCTGGGCCTCAAGTATCCCAGCCTTTACCTTTGGACCCTAGGACAAGACCTGGTAAGTAAGTGACTAAAGATTTGTCTGAACAGAACACATATGTCTCAGGAAAGCAATTGTCATGGCCACCATGGATTTGGGAGGCAGTATGTCTGTCTAGTGAGAGGGCTTAGAAGTTTAAGTCTGAATTCCTAATTCTATCACTTACTGACTTTGTATCTTTGCCAAATTTTAATACTAAAGTAGTTGGTTATTTCAATGCTACAGAATTGTTTTGCAAGTTAAGGAATATAGTTAAAAGTCAATATTTCCACAGTTCTTGCCCCACTTTGTATGATAAATTATAAATCTCTATAAACATGTGTTAATCATTTATTATTATTAGGTTTTTAAATTGCTGTCCTATTCCTCCCATATGTGCTCTATGACTCTGTTCTACTTCAGCTCTATCTCAGCCGCAGCTGTTAGGAGGGCAAAGAGCTCAAGCTCCTAACCCTGTGGGATTCCTTGGAACATGGCCTTTTCCTGACCCTCCTCCATCCATGGCATCCCTAGACATCATGCAGCCTGGCTCTCCCTCCCTGCCTGAAACTTCTAGACTGCTTCCTCTGCTTCCCATGAGACCACTAGGTCCCAGCCCCATGGTCTCCCAGCCACCAGGCCCTCCTGCCAGCTTCCCCGTGGCATACCCTCCCAGAGGACCAGCTGTTCCATGCTTTAGCACCCTCCCAGCCACTGCTATCTTGACTCACCATCCAGGTCAGTCTTCCTTCCATGGCTTTCCTCTTCTGGGTTGCTTCCTCCTTTTCCTCCCCTCTCCACTCTTACCTCAGGAGTTTTTTTCCTCAGTGAAGTGGGACCCCTTGGTTGGAGAGTAACTGGGAGTATGGCTGGTCTGCAGAGGGAGGTATTGCGGACTCCAACTAAAATAATTTTTCTAGCCTTCAGAAGAAAAATTTCCAATGTTCCTGTCCATGCCCCTGAAAACCTCTTACCTTGTTACTCTGCAGCACCTCAAGATTCCTGGAAAGATGCTCCAGCCCCCAAGGGAAACCTCCAAAGGAAAAAGGTCCCTATGTCTTTCTTGACCCACTCTCTCGTATATTCACCTAGTCACCCACATTCTAGTTCTTGACAGAATTCAGTCAGCCCTTCCCTGCCTTGGGCTGTCCTTGCTCTTCTCCCACTCACTCTTCTGCCCTCAGCACCTACTTCTTTCCCTCTTACATACACATACCAGTCTTCCCATTTCCCAGTTTCCCTCTCATTCTTCTGTCTCCTTATTCACTATTAATTTCTATCACTCCCCAAAACTAAGGCCTATGTAGTCTCTTAGCTTATAGACTCGTGTGCCTTTATTTCTCTCCCTTTAGCTGCCAGAGACATTTATGCCTCCAGCACCAATTACTGCTCCAGTTATGAGCCTTAGCCCTGAGCTACAAGGAATCCTGCCCTCACAGTCCCCTGTCTCCAGTGTGGGTCAAGCTCCCCCAGGAGCCCCAGGAGAATTCAGCTTGCAGGTGACAGAGACAATGTGTTCTCCTCCCCTGGGAAATCTGTCACCCCTCCTTGGTTGTAGAAAAGTAGGGAGCATGTTAAATGGGCCTCATTCTTCAAGGTAGAGGCAGTCTCTAAGCTGAAGAAAACTGGATCGGGTACCGGGTATCCTTACTGCAGAGAAGCAGGGAGGGTGCTCCTCCCCTCAAATCTGTTCTTCCCTGATGGGAACAGAGTGATTCTGAGTCACTGAGGAATAGTCCTTAGAGAAGCCATGAGAAGTTGAGATTCCCTGTCTTTCTCCTGCCTCTGTCAGCAACTGCCACCTGAGAAGGTGGAAAGGAAAGAGCTGCCCCCAGAGCATCAATCCTTGAAGACCAGCTTTGAGGCACTGCTCCAGCGCTGCGCCTTGTCTGCCACTGACTTAGTAAGTCTGAACCTTCCCCACGATGCCCCTCTTGTGCCCGTTGCTGGGTCTAGGACCCCTCAACCAGTTCCTTGTGTGACTCTTTTCTCACTGTCCCTAAGCATGCTGTCTGTATCTTGTATTTATTTTATGTCCATGAGGAGTAGAGGGGAGACTGACATTCTGGTCTGAAGTCCAGCTCCTTCGTAGCAGGACCCAATAGCATCAAAACTTAAAGGCAGCAGAAAGTCTTAGAAGGAGGGTAAAACCAGTAGTGAGGAAGCCTGTAGTCCATTTGCTGGCTGTGTCAGCTTGAGCAGGTCACTTATGCTCTTTGGGTCATTTCCTCCTCTATGAAATGGAGCAAGAAACCTTAGCCAATCTAGCTCTAATATATTGTGATTCTTTATAACCCTTTGTAGTGTTAGATTTAGGGGCTAGGATCAGAATCTATTTCTTGGGGCTAGGCACAGTAGCTCATGCCTATAATCCTAGCACTTTGGGAGATAGAGGAAGGATTATTGATTGAGGCTAGGAGTTCGAGACCAACCTGCACAATAGTGAGACATCCCCCCCCCCATCTCTATAAAAAATAAAAAACTTAGCCAGGCATAGTGGTACAAATATGTAGTCCCAGCTACTAAGGTGACTGAGCCAAGGAGGATCACTTAAGCCCTAAAGTTTGAGTGAGCTACAATGACACCACAGCACTCTAGCATGGGCAACAGGGCAAGACCCTGTTTTTTAAAAAATCAATTTTTCTCCCTGTAGAAGACAAAAAGGAAGCTGGATGAGGCAGCCCAGCGTCTAGAATATCTATATGAGAAGCTCTGCGAGGGGACAGTAAGTACAGCTAGATGTGTTCCCTCTGCCTCTTGCCTCTCTGCCATCCCCATGGCCAAAGGAAGCCCAATATCTTTTCTTCCCATAGTTCTCATCATCCTGGGTCCCTATAAAGTACATACTGGACTAGCCTTCAGGACTTGAATCCTCTTATCCCTTCTATGCTGCCAGAATAAAGTCTGGGTTGGGCTTGCTAAGCAAGAGTCAATCTCTTCACAGCTCTCACCTCATGTCCTGGATGGGCTCCATGAGGTTGCCCGATGTGTGGATGCAGGAAGCTTTGAGCAGGGCCTCACAGTGCATGCCCAGGTGGCAGGCTGCAGCAGCTTCAGTGAAGTATCCAGCTTCATGCCTGTCCTGAAGGCTGTCCTCAACATCGCTCATAAGATGCAGATCTAAACCAGCCAGCCTGTCTTGCCAGGAGGCCACTTCTGCTATTATATAAATCTGCCCTGCAGAAAAGGGGGAATTTTGGAACAGATTCTATTTATTTTCTCCAGTCCTCTTCACTTGCTGGCAGGAAGACATATGATGCTATAGGATTAGCTCCAAACCAGTTGAGTGCCGGCTTTTTACCTCTTTATGCTTGGCCCTCTAGGATCTATCCCAGACTCTCTCAGCCCCGGAAGCAGGGTATTGAGTCAATTCTTCACTTTCCCTAATGCTGCACTCTAACAGAACCTAGGGCAGGATATCTCCTCCCCCCAGGTTATTCTGTTTAAGTGGCCTGTGACACAGTGAACAGGATCATTATTTCCAAGTCTATCTCCACTGTAACCTACCTTATGGTCTTTCGTTTTTCCTTTCTGTGGTTTATGATCCTGACCTTACCTTCTCCCTGCCTCTGACTCACATTTTCAGTCCATATTTCTCTGTAGCCCAGGGGCTGGGGTAGAGCTGACTGCTATCACCCTTTGAGCAAGTGATAGACATGAGGGATAGGTGCTAGCAGAACCAAGAGAGGAAACTTTGGTCTCATCTGCCAGCATTAAGGATGGGCTAGGTTAGGTAAAAAGTAAAAGTGGTGAACTGTCTTTTGCTGGAGGCTGCCTTAGGCTATTAGATAGAAGCAGAGGGACCACAGCCTGTGGGGAATGGTCCTTGACTCCACTTATGTTTCAGCCCTGGCCCAAGGCCCTAGATTATTCATCCTGTGATTATAATAAGCCCAGTTCTGGAACAGGAGCCATATTAATGAAGTCTTCTCTTCCAGCACTGCTCCTCAAGGGTTGGGGTCTTTCTCTCAGCCACAAGTCTCAAGGCTCCTTTCCCTGGTTGTATTTTCATTTGCTGCTTTGCATTTGATTCACAGATATACTTAATGGTGCAATAAAGGCACTTGGATTTGTTTTCTTCCATCATGTCCCAATCATTGTCTCCTCTGGGCCCTATTTTGCCATTACCTCTTTCTAATCCTCTTTGTTCTTGCTTCCTGCACCCTAGTAAAGCAGGGGAGACGCTTGGCAAGAGAGAAGACATCAAGAGAGTTGAAGGAAGGTATCCATTCCACTGAATTAGGCTGCAAGAGTCTCTCCTGGCAGCATTTGTGGCCAGTCTGCTGAGTATGTGTGTGTGTGTCTTCATCCGTGCCTGACTCAGCTCCAGGGTTTCCCCCATACCACTTCAGGGCTGAGCTCAGCTGCACAAAGGGACTGGGTGTGAAGCCAGGGGGTAGTAGCTCTAATCCTGTTGTAGATCCCATCATGTCTGCAGGCTAGATGTGTGTGTTTGGGAGGGAGGGATTGTTAGGCAGTATTTGTTTGTAAAGCCACTTGCTCTTCAGATAATACTTGCACTAACTTCTATTGATGAAGCAGTGTGAGCCCCAGCAAAGTCCTTTCCCAAAGTGTCTTTGAAGCCAAGAGCCCATTGAAGGGAAGAAAGGCTGGGAGAGGGGATTAGTTTGTTCAGCAGCTGTGAATTTCAGTGGGAGGTTGATGAACTCCGAAGTCTTTGTTTAAATTAAAGGGGGGGAGAAAAAAGCCGCTGCTGGAGCGAGAGCCCCACTTGGGGCCCTGAACTAACACAAGGAGAAGTCTGAGCTGCAGGGAGCTGTGTACTGACTGCGAAGACTTTTCCCAAACACTTTCGGAAAAGGTGTTGTGAGAAGAGAAGGGGGCGGAGTGGCGGATTAGCATGTGAAATGAAGTTTTCATTGACTCCAGTGGGGGTAGAAGGCTATTTTAATAGCATTTTGTTCCCCTATTTTCTCTTCTTGAGCTCTTTAGGGATATTGTTTTGTTAAGATGGGCTTTCTTCCCCCTTCTTTCCAGTCTGAGGATTGCCTCTATGGGAGCCAACATAAATATTTCTCCTCCAGGAATGCGGGTTAATTAAAAGGAAATGAATGAGTGGAAGCATCCAATCCAGATCCACAATAGGCAAGTGCCCTGGCCTGCCCTCCCCTCCCACCACCAGCAGCACCACCAGCGCCGAGGATGACCCTGTCTCTGTCTTTGCCCCAACCTGCTGCTAAGGCCAGTTGAAGCTGGGATTCTTTTCAAGAAAAGAAAGGACTGCCTGTGTGTATGCTCACAGGCCAGAGACAGGAAGGAATCAGTGTTTTGCCCACCCCAACCAGTGTCCTTGTCACTTCTCAGGACCTCCCTCTGCTTCTGTCCTCTAAGGGAGACAGATGGGCTCCTGGAGAGCACACAGAGGAGGGAGGGGAACTGTGTTCCAGTACTTAGCCCTTAGTAACTTACTAGTTGGAGGAACAAGCCAGTCATCTTTCTCAGCATCTGTTTAAATCTATAAAACAAAAGATTTGACTAGCTGACCTCAAAGATGTCTTCCTAAGCAACAGTCTTGGAGTTGTCCCCTTTGTAAAGGCAGCATAGCCCTCACAACTGAACACAGGATGAGAACCTTACCTCCATGAACGCGGAGATGTTGGTGTGCTGCTCACCACTGTCTCACTTTAGTCATTGTTGAATGAACAATATATGAATGGATAATGCACGAGGGGGGAAAAGCAATACAGATCTAAGGTAGCTCAATCATGTTTTCTTTATAGAACTTAAATGAATCTAGTATGAGTCATATCCATTTAGGGATATAAAACAATAACCTATGAAAGGACTTTCTGGCAGCATGACATGTTTAGAGTACTGACCTGGAATTACCGAATATGAAGCACAATGGTTCTTCTATGTTTATGCTGACAGCCTTCTGGAGAATTTAGCATTGTACTTTTGTATTTTCTAGCTACCTTGCCAGACTTCCTGTACATTATCAATAATTCTGCCAAGTGGGACACCTAGGTTAGTATTTGCTTCTGCTTGATAAAGGAAGAAGGTGAGCTGGAAGATTCAAAGTCCACGAGAGAAGGTGAGAGAAGGAGCAAAGGGCCTTTCACTAGTAGAGATAAAACACTCAGAGACCCTGAAGGGAACTATATTCCCTGGTCAGGAAGGGGAACCTCTCTGCTCAGTATGTGTTGGTAGGACCAGATGACATATAGGGATAAAGCCACGGGCTTGGGGTCTGACCATTTGCCATGTCTCAGTTTGGAATATGGGAGACTTTCCACTCTTATAATCAGCTCTTATGGTCTAGGCCTTTTTTTACCCACTTGGAGCCACATTTCTGTGCTTTCTCCTACTCTGGGAGAGGAGGGTTGAAGATGTCTCATTACTGACCAGTTCTGCTTCAGGAGAACTGCTGGTGCCCAGACCCCCAACTGGCCTAGTGCAAGGAAGCTGGAAGTTCCTTGGGCTTCAAAGTCTATTAGATGATGACTGTTCCCTCCCCAAGGACTTGCCTTATTTTATAAAAAAGTCCCTGCTGTACTGCTCCTTTCTGAGAATAAAACCAGAAGATTCAAGCACCACAAGCTACAAGCTCTTAGCTACTATTAGTGGAATATTTGTATAGATGATTTACTAATCCTTGACAGATTAGCCTCAGTTAAGTCAAGATAACTACTTAGGCCATCAGGGAAGCAAGAATCTAGAGAAAATTATATCCTACCAAGCTGGGAGGGAGGAGAGAGTCTAGGGGTTATATCTTCTACCCACCCTTCAAGAATCAGTATCTTCAAGAATCAGTTCAGTACCTGGTAAAAAGGGAACATATCACAATAACTGCAATAAATTAAAGTTCAAGGTGCTGAACTTCCTATTAGCAACAGTTTCATTGCAGGAAGTTTATTTATTGAATATTCAATGCCCTGAATCCTGCCTGTTTGAGAAATCAGGTTAGTGGAAGGTCCCTCATTTCTTTTCTTATGCCCTGCCTTTAGACCACAGTCTGAATGGGAAATTGGCTTTATTTACCTCAGTCTTGACTCAGAGGAACAAAGATCCTTTGGGGAAAGAGAAGCGATAGTTTGTTGCTAGGAGGAAATAAGTGAAACGTGAAAGGATAAGATATGACTGGTAATCTACCCATACATAGTTTCTAGGCCTTTGGGATATATGTCTGGATTGCCTTGGGTGATTGTCTGTGAAGGTTATTGCCCCACTGGTAAAGTCCATTAGTGATGTGGTATCACAAGGATGAGTAGCATCCTTGGTATTCAAGTCAGCACTTAGGGTTCCCTCTTCTGCCATCTTCAACCTCTGCCTCTAGGAACACCCCCTCTAAATGTGCTTTTTCTCAGGCCAGTGTCCTCAGTTTCTCTTCAGGGAAAGAAGGGAAAGGAAGAAGAAAGAAAAAGCATTAGAGATTCCTGGGGAGTCTGGCAACAGCAGGGAATCAGAATACAAGAGGGGCTGTGCAGAAGGGAAAGGCAGCTATGGTGAGACCCGGGAGCAGACAATCGGTGAAAGAAAAGCATGGTTTTACCTGGGCCCTCATGTTTGAGAAAGTTCTTCCAGTTCCTAACACTCCATAGACTGATGGCCGGCTTTCGGGGCACCTATGGGGGGGGGAGGGGAACACTTATTCTCATCCTAGTCCAGGAAAGATCAATGGTTCAAAATCCTAAAACAGAGTTCTGAGACCTAAGTGTGGGCTGTGAGGAAGACTCAGACTGCAGAAAAATTGGGGAAGACAGGTTGCAAAGTGACAAGCTCTGGAGAGACTGCAGAGTCTCTCAGTCACAGGATACCTGGGCTTGGGAACGCGGGGGCCCCATTCCCGAGGTTCTTCTATTACTGGGGTCTCTAAAAGAAGCCAAGAACAAATAGGAAAAGGAGGCAGGAGAGGAGACCCTTAGGGTTTTCTCCCGGGTTTGTGCGCAGCGCCTCCCCGCGGCCGCTCTGCCCGACTACAGAAGTACTTGGTGACTCGCCGGCGGCACTGCTCGCAGCGGACAGCGCAACACCAGTGGAACTTGCAGTTGCAGCTAGACACGGTCTCCGCGCGGCGCTCTTCCACCGCCAGCCCACAGTCCCCGCACAGCCGGCGGCAGCTGCGGCGCTCCCAGCGGCCCAGGGCTCGCCCGCGCCGCAGGCACTCTCGGCCTTCGGTGCCCAGCAGACCCAGCGTTTTGTTCTCCAGGCAGTAATCTGGGGAGTCCTCCAGGTGCACCAGCTCTCGGGTGGAGATGGAGCGGAAGGTGTCGGCGATGGCGCCGCGGCCAGCCGCGCTGTTGCCAGCTCCCTGCAGCAGGTCCACCTTGAGCGCCGCGTGGTACTTCTCCTTCAGGTGCGCGCCCACCTCGCGGAACTCGGGCAGCTGCAGCCAGCAGGTCTGCGTGGTGCAGCTGCCAGACACGCCGTGGCACTTGCACGTGCGCTTCATGGTGCCCTTCACCGCCTGGGGAGAAAGCTAGGAGTCAGGCCCGGGATTCAGCGTGAGGCCAGCCCCCGCCCCCGAGGGACTGTGAGGCGTCTAGCTGGGCTGGCCGACTAATTGACCAGCCCGTTAGTTAACTCATTTTCCCATCTGTCAAATGATCTGAAGAGTAGTCCGCACCTGGGGCTGGCAGTGAACAGACTCACCTTGCGGCCAGCCTCGTTGTTGTGCAGGTTCATGGCTGCCCGTGCATCCTGTCCTGTTTCCAGAGCATCAACGAACTGCTTGGAAATCGCCTCTCCGAAGCCCACGTTATCACTGCAGCCTCCCCACAGCCAGCCCTGGCCCCCTGGAAAAAGTGCAGGAGGAGAAAAGGTCATCCAGCAGGAGGCCGCGAAGTCTCCTGGCCCGCTGTTTCTAATTGGGTTGGGGGGTCCAGTATAGGAGAGGATTAAAGTTGGGCGGATGCCCAGCGTCTGGATTAGTTTCAGTCTACGTTTGTTTTTATCACATTTGCACCCCTCTTCCACCCTCAGCCAATCCCCTGCTCAGAGCTTCATGACGTAAGTAGTTGCTGAATGGATTCTCTCAAGGTGCGAGAGCGCTTCTCGCTTATGGTGCTCTACGCAATGGTGCACGTGTCCTGCCGGCGATTGAGGTCTGGACAAAGACTGAGAGGGAAAGACTGGTGCAATTGAAATAATATGGAGCAACCAAGGTGGAAATTCATCGGTAGGGCACAGAGGATAGGAGACAGCAAGGTAGGTGAAGAATAGAAAGTATGCGGGCCCAGAGAAGGAACAGAGGATGGAGTCTCCAGAGTCTTGCTCCTTTATAATTGTTGTTATTTGTAAATTAAGGAAACCACTCAATGGGAGAAGAGGTTCCCAAACTACGTTTAGTCTGGTTTGTCTCTGTAGGGTTTGGGTTCAAATTGGTTCGCCCATCTTCAGCATGCTTTACTCATATTAAGAAGTACACAACTTTACTTCACCCCACCAGGCTACCCACCACACTGTCATTCTTTAAGTGAATTTAGCTGGCCTGTCCTACCCATCGCCACATTACTACTCACCTAGTTGCCCATTGCGGGAGTCATCACAGCCGCAGTTATCAAAATCTCCAAGGCTGCAGTTTCTAGTTAGAGTGTACATGACTCCAGCAGAACTGATGGCATGTACAAATGCTGTCTCTCGGTTAGCTGGAAAGAACCAAACATCTGGAGAGTTAGAGGTAAGTGTTGTAGCTGGAAGAAATATCAATCATGCTACGTCCCTTAATAACATCATTATGCCTTCCTTTCCCAGTTCCATCCTACTTCCCTATCTTTAAAATGTGTTTCAGCATCTTCCAGGGTCTGCTACCTCCTTGGCCTTAACCCTCCCTATTCTTCCTTCCTGTCTCTTCAGGCCACACATTTTATGACTAGGTGAGTAGGTTATTGTTGACATACATGACTGGAAAGGATTTAGATGGAAAAGAGCCTGAGGAAGAAATCAGGAAGAAGATGAATCTGAAGGCTGGGTTATAGAGAACCCATTCCTACTTCCTTTTGGAGCACTGGAGCCTAAGAAGCATGTGCAGCTGGTCTTGTAAAAAAACCTCTAATTGGCAGTTCTTTCTCTTATTGGCATGGCCGCTCTATGTTCTCTATAGAAATCTAGTCTGCAAGTCAGTTTCCACTTGCCCAGTACCTCTCTGCTGAGCCTGCTGAAGGAAGGGGCTAAGAGATACAGGGATTATGACCCCCTACCTTCCGATGTTACTTATATTGTGAAGAAACTTTTAGCCAGATGGGAGGCCAAGGATGGTATGGGATTGGGGGTGTGGAAAGGTCCATTTGTTGAGCAGTGACAGTGTCAGGGAAGAAAGAAAACAACCTCTATAAATATGAAAGAGGAGATGAAAAGGGAAAAAAGATGGCTCAGCGCCTATGGCTTGGGTGGCTAGGGCGCCAGCCACATACACCTAAGGTGGCGGGTTCGAATCCAGCCCGGGCCCACCAAAACAACAATGACGGCTGCAACCACAACATGGCTGGGCGTTGTGGCGGGCGCCTGTGGTCCCAGCTTGGGAGGCTGAGGCAGGAGACTCACTTGAACCCAGGAGTAGGAGGTTGCTGTGAGCTTTGATGTCACAGCACTCTAACCAGGGGGACAGCTTGAGGCTCTGTCTCAAAAAAGAAAAAAAAAAAAAAAAGGAAAAAAGACCTCAGGAGATGACCAGAGAGAAGACAGCAGGTAAAAAATAAGGGTGGAGAGGTGTCAGAGGGCCATCCCTAGGGTCAGGGGCTCTAACCTGTGACCAGGGGCCCAGGGAGCTGTAGCACAGGTTTTTCTTACCACTGCGAAGCCCGCCATGGCTGGACAGCTGCAGGGCTCTCTCAGGGCAGTTCCAGCGGTCCCAGGCAAACTGATATTTACATTCTTCAATACCACTCTGAGCACCAGCTGCCACACTGCTGGAGTAGATCAGGTAAGCCTGCAGGGACACAGAGGTCAAAATTTGGACTGAATTTAGGAGACATTTGCTCTAACTTGGTCAAGCACCTCTCTTCCCGCCCAACCTCCCAGCCCAAAATAAAGACAGAATAAGCACTTTAAACATGCCATCTCGTTTAACATCACAAATAACTTTGCAAAACAGGCACCATTTTATAGATTAGGAAACTGAGGGTCAGAAAGGTAAAGTAATTTGTGTAAGGTCCCACAGCTGACAAATAGCAGGAATGAAACTCAGTTTTCTCAGATTCTTGTTTCCACAATCCTTTATTCAATCTACTGCCTCTCCAAAGATGAGACCAAATTACGTAAGTCAAGAAATTACACCTATTCTTATTCCATTATTATCTTAGAAAACAACATTTTGGAGCCGAAACTGTCCCTCCATGTAAAGATCCTATAGTACAATCCCCATAGTGTAAAGATGGGACATTGCATCTCACCCTGGCACTGAGAAGGCTGTTGACGTCTATGAATCTGGCCATAAATTTAGAATCAGTGCTCCTGAGTTCTTATCTTGGTGCTGACATTAGTCTGCTGTGTGGTTTAGGGTGTGTCTCTAACCCTCTCTAAGCCTCAGTTTTTCTATCTATAATACATATAGCATAAAAAAGATGTGGATACAATGAAAAGAAATATGTATGGTCTTTGATCAACAAGTGAAATCCATATTAATGAAAGAAATTTTGTCTTACCTTTGGACCAGTCATCAGGAAATTGTTCACTGACCTAGAAGGGGGGGAAAAACCACAAAGTATAACAGAGAGACACACCAACTTGTTTCTGCTTCCAAGAGTTATAAAGATTACTTCAGCAAATATAATTGATACAAAGAAAGGGTAACTAATTTCACCAAGGAAACATTATGCACAAAACCTACTAAACATATAGTAAAAAAGAATATGAATAAAAGTAGTATGATTACCTTGAATTTTTAAAGTTAGTTAAAATTCCCCACATCATAAAAAACTTGGATATAATATTGATCATTATCTTGCCATGGGGTAGAGAGAGAGCTAGCATTAACTCACAACTGTGTGCAGATGCTCTTCTCTCAGCATTTTACATATGGATCTTGTTAAATCCTTACTGTCTCAGGTATTATTACCTCTATTTTGCAAACAGGAAATCTGAGACTCAAGAAAAGTTAACTATATGTCCAAGTTCACCCAGTTAATAACTGAGGAAGCATGTTCAAATCCAGGTTTGTCTTACTCCATGGGATTTTAGAAGGATAGTTCTCTAATCAAGAAGAGATAAACAGTGGAATATCTTTCTGGGGATTGAGTCACTATTAAATTCCAAACATATACAGTCTGAGTCTGGAAAATGGTTTCACTATTTCTTTTAAAACTACAAATAGATATGCCACATGACTTAGCAGTTACACTTTTGGGTGTTCATCCCAGAGAATTTTGTATTCAGGTCCGAGTTGCTGCAAATATCTAAAAATAATTTTTTAACTAAAAAAAAATAAATTTATACTCAGATGCTCATCATACCTGGATGCTTTAGCCCCAAATTGGAAACTATGGTGAATGTTTTAAAGACCTGTGGTACGTCCATTACTCAGCAATAGAAAAAAAGGAATGTCATGCAATTATGGATGCTGAGCCAAAAAAAAAAGAAAAAGATATGGACTCTTGCTAAATGCAATTGAGAATTTGGATGAACCTCAAGGAAAATATATTGAGTGATTAAAGCCAATCTCCAAAAAATACATGCTGCATAATTCTAATTATGTAACAACAGGGAAGTAATATAGAGCTGGAGAACAGATTAGCAGTTGCCAGGGATTGGGATGGGGGTGGTAGGCTATAAAAGAGTAACAAGAAAGTGTCTTGATGACAGTGGTCATGGTTATACAAGGCTACACAAAATTGCATCAAGTTACACACATACACTTAAATATGAGTATCTCCAAGTGTATGTAAAAATGGTGAAGTCTGAACAAGTTTTGTGGATAATGTACTCTAGTTGTAAGATGGTAACATTGAGGGAGGTTAGGGGAAGGGTGCATGGTACTTTCCTATACATTTCTGTGCATATTTTGAAGATCTACAGTTACATGAAAATTAACAGTTCAATATGTGTACATACATGATCTGCAGTGGTAGAGATTTGGAGAGTGACTTCAGTATTATTTGAAAATTAATCAAAATGTATTATCTATTATCTTTTTTTTTCCATTCCATTACTGTGTAAGAAAGTAACATGGGAATCATTATGTATCATTCCATGAAAGTTGGTGTACCTCTGCAATTCTGAAGGCCTCACCAGAAAGGGGACTGGAAATGAAACAAACCAAGAACTTTTAGTCTCTTGTCCAAGGTCAAAAAGGCTTGGCTGACTCTTTTCATAGAAAACACACACTAGTTGGGCATGGTGGCATACACCTGTACAACAGACTTGGCACCCATAGCACAGTAGTTACAGCGCCAGCCACATACACTGAGGGTGGTGGGTTGGAACCTGGCCTGGGCCAGCTAAACAATGACAACCGCAACAAAAAATAGCCAGCCATTGTGGTGGGCACCTGTAGTCCCAGCTACTTGGGAGGCTAAGGCAAGAGAATCGCTTAAGCCCAAGAGTTTGAGATTGCTGTGAGTTGTGATGCCACGGCACTCTACCAAGGATGACATAGTGAGACTCTGTCTCCACAAAAAGAAAAAAAGGAAATAAAAGAAAAGAAAAGAAAGAAAGAAAGAAAGAAAGAAAAAGAAAGAAAGAAAGAAAGAAAACACATAGAACATCTAAAATGTGAGTAGTATTTAGGCCGGGTAGGGTGGCTTATGCTTATAATCCTAGCACTCTGGGAGGCCAAAGTGAAATGATTGTTCAGGGGTTTGAGACCATTCTGAACTAGAGCAAGACCCCATCTCTATGAAAAATAGAAAAACTAGCCAGGCATGGTGGCACACACCTGTAGCACCAGCTACTCGGGAGGCTGAGGCAAGAAGATTGCTTAGGCCCAAGAGTTTGAGGTTGCTGTGAGCTATGATGCCAGAGCACTCTAGCCTTGGGCAACAGAGTGAGATTGTCTATAAGTAAGTGAGTAAATAAATAAATAAAATGTAAGTAGTTTTGGGAAAACAGTATTAACAAACTGGGAGGCTGCCATATCAGGAGAAGAAAAGATTTCTGAAAGAGATGTAATAAAATTTAGAAAATCATAACAGACTACAAAATGTAGCAAAATGTAGGCCCACTTTCTAAAGATTGGCAGACTTAAGTCAACTGAAAAGAAGTACCACTGCATCAGCGGTGGTATTATAGTATCAGCAAAGCAAAAAATAATTCAAAATTATTTAAATAAATTCACAATTGCCAAAGCCATTATGGGTTTGGAGATAAATTTCTGATCCTTAAAGAATGATGTCAGAGGAGTCAGCCAGGCCCTTTGCCTCAGGGAAAGGAGCCTGATCTTTCTCTGACTCAGGAGGCCTCTCTTGATGTTAGGAATAACTTCCAAAGATTTTGGACATTAGCAGGTCTGACAGAGGCTAATTCCCATTTTCCAGAAGACAGACATTATCTGTTTGAAAGAAAAACAAAACAGAACAAAACAAAACTAGAATGACAAAAGAGAAAACTTTGCCATAAGCCTGCATGAAGATTCTTCCTGTGAGAGGATTCTAACTTGGAACACAGTGACGGGCAGAGATACTAGAGAATTCTTTTTTCCTAGAAGATCCCACAATATGTATGTATTTATTTTTAGGACATCTGGTACTTTTCAGGATGATCCTACATGCAAAGATTTGTATGATGTGCTGGTTTAACCCAACTGATTGATTAATCAGATTTAATTGGGCAGCTGTTATGGGACAAAACTGTATGCCTTATTTAGACAATATTCCCATAAAGTGACTTATATTGTTAACCTTTGAGTTATTTGCAGACATATTTGAATCATCTGACTGGTTTACTTATATCCAAAATACCCTATATTAAGAAAAGATTGTGTGACCTGTGGTGAGCACCAAAGGAGGGGCTCTTGTTCTTGATTAATGAGACAATGACATTAATGAGACCTCCTTTTAGTGGGTAAAATATAGATCATAGAAAGCATAGCGAGTGTGTGTTGTAAGAAGATGTAAAGAATTTTAGCTTTTGCATGGGTGCTACCTAGGGACAGTCAGGGCTGAAGGAAAGATGACCGATAGTGGCTTCTTTGTAGACAGAACATGGTATGACCAGTATCTAGATGGAAGAACAAGCTTCCCACTTCCCATGAGGAGTGTCATTGCTGATGACACTCTAGACTTTCATAGCCAATTATATTCTTTTTTTTTTTTTTTTTTTTGAGACAGAGCCTCAAGCTGTCCCCCTGGGTAGAGTACCATGGCATTACAGCTCACAGCAACCTCCAACTCCTGGGCTCAAGCGAGTCTCCTGCCTCCGCCTCCCAAGTAGCTGGGACCACAGGCGCCCACCACAACGCCCGGCTATTTTTTGGTTGCAGCCGCCATTGTTGTTTGGCGGGTCCAGGCTGGGGATTCGAACCCACCACCTTAGGTGTATGTGGCTGGCGCCTTAGCCGGTTGAGCTATAGGCGCTGAGCCACCAATTATATTCTTGACATATCCCCGCCAATGTTTACTAGGCATCTCAAACTCAACATGTCCAAAACTGAACTCCTGATCCTTGCTGCCACCACCTCAATCCTCCTCCTTATGTAGTATTCTCCATATAATAAAGGACAGTTCCTCCTGGTTGCATAAACAAAAACCTCAAGCGTCATCTTTGATTCATTTTCTTCTCTCTCATCCTATATCCATTCTGTTCTCAAATCCTACCAGCTCCAAGCTCCAGCTCAAAATACAACCAGAGTCTAACTAGGTTTTGTTTGTCGGTTTGTTTAGAGACAAGGTCTCTGTCACCTAGGCTGGAGTGCAGTGATGCCACCTTAGCTCACTACAGCCTTCAATTCTTCAGTTCAAGTGATCATCTTGTCTCAGCCTCCCAAACACCTGGGAGTACAAGTATGGGCCACCACACTTGCCTAATTTTTCTATTTTTTGTGGAGACATTCGGTATGGTGGAGTCTTTCTCTTGCTCTGGCTGGCCTCAAAATCCTGAGCTCAAGCAATTCTCCTGCCTCAGCCTCCCAAAGTGCTGGGAGTACAGCTATGATGTCTAGCCTAACCAATTCTTTTTTTTTTTTTTGAGACAGAGTCTCACTATGTCATCCTTGGTAGAGTGCTGTGGCATCACAACTCACAGCAACCACAAACTCTTGGGCTCAAGTGATTCTCTTGCCTTAGCCTTCCACATAGCTGGGACTACAGGTGCTCACCACAATGACCAGCTATTTTATTTTTTTTGTTGTAGTTGTCATTGTTGTTTGGCAGGCCTGGGCCAGGCCCCAGGTCAGCCCATGTATTTGGCTGGTACCCTAGCCGCTGAGCTCTAGGTGCCGAGCCCCTAGCCAGTTCTTAACACCTTCACTGTTGTCACCCTTGCTCCATCATGTCTTGTCTGGATTGCTGCGAGACCCTACCAGTTGATCTCCTGCTTCCACTCTTTTTCTGCCACCTTCTGTTCTCAAAATGATTGGCCCCTGTAAAGATTAATAACTTTAAAATACAAATTAAACTTTGCCTCTCTCTGCTCCAAGTGTTCTAATAATTTCCTATCTCATGCAGAATAGAAGTCAAATCCTTATTGTGGCTTATAAAAATCCTTCCGGCCTCCCATTACACCTCTGAGCTCATCTGCTTCCCACTTGCCGCCCTTCTCCTATCCCACTGTTCTCCTTGCTGTCTAACACACCAGGCACTCTCCAGCCTCCATGTCCCTGTACTTGCTATTCTCTCTTCCTGGAATACTTTTCACACAGACATCCACATAGCTTGTTTCCTCACCTACGTCAAATGTGTCATGCTCCTTCAGGCTTTTCTTCATCATCCTATTTAAAATTGCAACTCCTTCATTCCCCTTCCCTGCTTCATTTTTTTCTATGGCACTTTTTTTATCATCTGAACGTTTTGTGTTTTACATTTTTTTAATTGTTTGCTTTCTCCCACTAGACTGTCAGGTTCATTGAAGCAGAGTTATTTTGTTTATTTCATTTTGTTCATCAAGTATTACCAGTGCTGTGAGAAGTGCCTGGGAATGAGAAACAATAATGCCCATCAACTCAGGAATGGATTAACAAATCGTGGTACTTGCACACCATGGTATACTATCCAGCCATGAAGACAGATGTTGACTTCAC